GTAGCAGCTATCTCTTGGAGGCTTCAAGCTAGCTAGTAGGCAATAACTGTGAAACGATATACTAGTAGTACTTTGCAATATCCCAGTCTAACCAGGTTGTAACGCCATATGTCTTGTTCGTTCCAAGTTCCTAGTTTCACTCTGGCTACTGTTTCTACTACTACTACTACTACTAGCCTTCTTCCTATCACTGACCCTGGAAGAACTTGAGTGGATTGGGAAAGATCAGAGGAACACTCTTTGTGTACGCCAGGAAGTTTGGGTCATTGCCATATCGTTGCATGACTAGTTCCTTGGTATTGGTAATACTTCCTTGGGCTTGGCCAGTGAATAAGGTGTACAGAAAGAGTGGCGACAAGGCTGCCACGGCCAAGCGCTTGAATCTCCACAGGTGCTGAAAAATGTTGGTCGTCGCCTCGGGTGGGGGATCAATCAATGCGGGTGCATTGAGTAAGAAAATTCCACTCCAGAGCATCATGTTTCCCAAAAAGTTTGGATGTTGAGATATAGACCAAAGACCAACATTGCAAAACTGCCCTGGATGGTTCTTTTTAAACATCCATTTCTGATAATCCGCGGTGGTTTCCGTCAGTATTCCCATCACAAAGAGTGCTGCTCCGGCGATGCCACAGGGACTCGCTAGAATCGGTGTATTGAGGGACGACGTAGCTCCCATAGAGTGTGGTAAGGAACAAATGATGCCCCACAGGACAGAAATGAACCAAAAGACCGCCGTACCACTGACCGTTGACAAGGTTGATTCGAGCCTGGCATCATGCTTGAGTTGAAGCGCACGCCAAAAGAGAAACGATGCCAATTTGGTCCCCCAAAGTGATACAAATCCAGCCGACAGCTGCACACGGGGAATCTGCGATGCCAATCCAGTGGGCAGGGCCGCCAGGGCAAAGGCACCGGTCCCCAAGAGATCGAGATGCAAATGGGATCCTCCCGAAACAACGCTAATGACAAAACCCAGCAGGTTGGTAGCGATAATGATTTGATTGAATTTCCAAAAAGGACCATTGTCAAACATTGGTGAGAGATTCAAGGAGGAACCTCCGCGCAGATTGTGGACTGGAAACAATGGATTGTCATTGCGAGGACTCGTGGTGGTAGTGGACAAGGGCATTCGCCTCATTCCGTTGGTCTGTGTGATGCGTCGAGGGTGTGTCATGAAGGAACATGCGCCTTCGACAGCCAAAGTCAAGACGCAGACTCCGATGACGGCAATTCGAGTGACCAAACAACCTGATCCTCTACTGCTCTTCCTATTTCTAATAGATCTTCTCATGGTGCCGTGTGCTACTATTGCTATCTAGCTAGCACTCTTCTTCCTCTCTATCCAGTATCTGCTGTCGCTCCGTTTTCTTCGTTGTTTCCTTGATTGTTGATGTTTTTGGCTTGGCATCACTGACGTCATAAAATGATATAATGCCAACAGAGCTGTATTTCAGCTGTTCTTTCGGCCAATCCCTTTCTTCGTCAACGGTTTTTTCGTTTTTGGCGCTGTCATTCTTTTCCCCTCTGTCGTTGACTTGGCTTTGGTCTCCTTGGTGTGGCGAAGGGTGGATTGCTGCAAGTTGTTTGAATTGTAAAGTATTCCTTCTATACGACCTTCGGGAAGCCTCTTGTCCAGGGTCGGAGCAGCTTGTGCAACGGCGACTGCGGGAATAAAGCCAGCATGGACGATGACGCTACAGAAATCGATACCTCGCTCCTCATTGCACAACTCGCTGGGGTGGCGGATCGTGAGCAAGAAGAGCAACTTCAAGAGTGTTGTCTGCCTTTATGAATCCAAATGATTGGACGTCTCTTGCAAGGTATTTGCATCTTGGACAGTTTCGAGCGTGGACGGAATGGTCGGAAATCTTCGAAGCCACTCAGCTATGCGAGCGCCTGGCAACGATTTGCACGTATCTGTTCCTGTTTGGGAAATCTGCATTGCGGGACGTGAAGAACAGAAACGAAGAGAGTCATTGGGGTGCATTGAACGAGCTGCGCAGCGCCAATTTCAATTTCTATCGTGAATGTAGCTTCCGTCGTGACACGCTTGTCAATGTGAAACCTCTCGAGCAGGGCCTTGGGGGGCTGTCTTTTCCGCAAGCCAAAAGCAGATTTTGCAATATCCTGGATTGTGTTGAGTACTGGCTGATGTTGTCAAGAAACGTGGTGGCAGCAAACATGGTTCGCTGTGGCGTCTTGAGGCTTCTGGAAGTACATCCCAAATTGGCTACTGTTCACTCGCGTTGCATGTCGCGAGATATTTATCCGTTTTCCTTCTTTGCCTGGCTGGGATTCCCACGTGAAATAACACTGAAATGTCACAAACTGTTGGTGCCAACCATAACAGAAGAGAAGATGGAGAGCTCTATTGGGATGATGTATTTGGCTCACAAGCACCAACGTTGCAGTCCTTTGGCCTCCTTTGAGCTCCCAAAAGAGCTACACCCCCGAGGCCTTGTCCCAGAAGGATGCAGCATGGTCGAATTTCTTCTTCGCAATGGATACACAGTCGACATTTTGGAATATGCAATGGAAAACTTCCCGCACAAGAGCCAGCACTTGGCAATACTCGCTCCAGCCCCCACATGGAGATCACGCCCTCCACATACACCAAACCAAGCTGCTTCCGAAAATTTTTCCGAGGCTCTCTAGCTTGACTTGTTCTCCAAATTCGCGGCAAGGCGATGCATTTGTTGATGCAATGAAGCACCTGGGAAACCCTCAGGTGAACCAGACTTTGCAATCTCTATCGCTATATTACGCTCTGAAGCTCGCTGGCAGCATGGAAGCGCAGGTAGCTTTGCGGGCTCTTTTCGAACAAATAATGGGCAAGTCGCTCAATCTTGCAGTCATTGACGGCATTGGAAGGAGAATTATCAATAAGCTGCCATGGATTGTTGCTGGATGTGACCTCTCGTTGAAAGCCATTGGGCTCGGTCTCCGGTCAAGGCAACCTGACAGGAGCCTCCAAGAGCTTGTGCTGCATGGTTTTTCGCCTTTGGACTGTACTGCCGGGGTTGCGGAACTTTTCTCCAATGAAATGCGGTTTCTCGATCTTCAAGCATCAGCCACGGTTGTTTCGGCAGACCCGATTCGACATCACAGACGTCGGTTTGGGCACGGCATTTGGCGCCCTGGTGTCCACCTGACTGGGATGAGAAGTGTGCATTGCAGCGGCTCAATCTATACAACTTTCAAATTCGCCAGGCCTGCTGGGCCACCATCAGGAGTAAGATCTCAAGCTTCCTTCAGCTGACCCACTTGATAGTTGAACTCCCGAACTGAGCTGTTGTCAGTGCCACTCTAGAATGTCCCCAAGATCGACCGGTTGACCCATCTTTCTTTGATATGCTCGAACTGGAGGTCCGAGAATCATGCAGAGTGCTTTGTGGATATTACATTGGGGCTTGTTGCATTGCTAGCCCAGCAGTGCTTGCAAGTTCTGGAGGTGAACGGCGCTGGGGACAAGCGAGGCTTCAAAGTGGACGCGGCTGTGCTTTGCATGGCTCTGTCAAACAACGGGTACCTTGAGCATTTGTCACTGCGAACAGTAGCTCTTCAAGATCCATTTGATGCTGGGTTTTCCTTTTTTGATGTTCTTCAGAAGCACAACAACACTACTCTTTCCCACTTGGCGGTTTCTGACCAAAAGAATTGTCACATTTCCAGTTTTGATCGAGGTATTATCAAGCGGCAGATCATGTACTCTACACAGGGGTCCGTGCGAGATTATCAGCTAGCAAGAAAGCTGTCGTACTTGATTTCTTCGAACAAGTTTGGACGGGCCATGGTCCAAGACAAGGGAACAACCAAGGAAGAGTTGATTCATCTTCTCGTTGGTGTAGAAGCCTGGATCCAAGTCAAGACGAGTGGGTATCCGTTCTACGGTGAACTCTTGACCCTTGCTGACGACGATACCCTGGATAAATCATCTCTGGAATACCTGGATCTGCTGTACCAAACGCTTGGGGACTCGGATCATCTGTCATTTCGCAACCGAGATGGCTTTTGGTGCTATGCTTTTGATCGACACCTCGACAGTCTGAGCATCCAGTATGGACTGCTTCTTGAATCACCATCCTTGTGGCTTCGCAATGACGAGTAAGTATGTAGACGAGGAATGTCACAACTCTGAGATTGGTTTGCATTGGAACTCGCGGGAACGCCACTACTTCTGCTCGATTATCATCAAGGTACACATTTGGTGCACACTTAGTTGTGCCGTATCCAACAGACAGGAAATAACTTAGTAATAATATCATAGAAGTGGTGTCCTTACCCTTGGCCTTCATGTTTGCGTCTATTTCTATTGTTTTCAGGTCCCTGGAGAGCGCACTGGTCTGTGCTTGCAATTGTGGGGCCTCATGAGTTTGATGTGTTGAGGTGTGATGAGGACGGAGACACTGGGCGGAGACGAAGAGCTCACTCCAATGACGATGCGCAAGCCAGTCCCACCCACATGGAAAACGGCATTCGAGTTCTTTTCAAATTTCTTTTCAGACGCAAATACCACACCACAGGAAGCAAAACAGCAACAGCAAAATCGGCAACTACACCCACACCTGTAACACATAAAAATGCACAAACATCATCAGAGCGACCCATGAGCAAGACAAGGTTGCTCTCTTTTGAATACTACTAGCTAGCTACAGTAGTGGACACAAGACACATCGCGTAGAAAGAAAGTGAGAAGAGTGCTAGCTAGTGACATGATTCGCCCTGACTTGCCGTTGGAGCAACAGCATCCTCCTGCTCATCACAGTCCTGCAGTGGCAGTAGCTATTAGTGGCAAAGAGCAAGAAGAGACGATCGAAGAAGACGACGACTATGATGTGCGTCTTGGTCACAGTCGAATCGCGACGACCCTGTTGGATGGTCACATTCCCAAGAAGCGTCCTCGCATGTCTACCTCGTTGGACATTCGAGACGACCGACCTTTTTTTGTGTTTGAACACGAATTCCCACAATCATCGAATAAGATGGAAAGCAGTAGTAGTCAACAACAACAACATGATGATGATGATGATTCCTCCTGTGGTTGGTCACTGAGGCCACTGGCACCGACTCCCAATAGTAGTACCACGGCAGCTGATCCACCCCAACAACAAGCACTCTTTGGCCACAATAATACTGACAACACATGTATGTGGACCAGCAATCATCACAGTATGGAACGATGGCGCTCCATGTCCAGTTTCAGTAGTACCATTACGGAACGATCCACGGAACCACGAGAGACGTTGGATGGCTCGTCGTCCGGCTCTTCGACACAACCACAGCCTGTCCTACATGTAGAACAGCCTTTGGGATACGCCAATAATTCACAACAACAACATCATACACCCACCAGCACTAATACAGGTACCACCAGCACCACCAGCAGTCGCCGCAAAAATAGAGCACCCCAACAACTCTCTTCCGACGTCGAACAATTGACGGCTCGATTGGATCACTGGTGCAGCATTAATAATACGCACATGACGAGAGCTCTGCAACGACGCAATAATATTTACACACCCGAGCATCACAAATCCGCATTGTACAATCCGCAGGAAGAATACGATTACAGCCATTTCCGATTGTCCAAACAAATACGCAAATTGCAATGTCAAAATGCCAAACAAGAGGTCATGCGGGCCATGATTATGAAACAACAACACGGCATGGACGAAAATACATCGCCCATGTCGTCGGCTGCTTCCAACGGTGGTCCTTCCACACCCACTATTTCCAATACCACCACGTTGTTTGCCAGTACATCACCAACAGCAACAACAACTACAGACAAGGCGACAGCGGATGTTGTCATGGGGGACAACTAACCAAACGATGCGATGGGATCCGCACTACAAGCTAGCTAGCTATGCGATGGCGGCACGGTGTCAAATTCTATTTAGCTACCATGCAATCTAGTGAATTATCCGATCAGTCTTCTTATAAGTCGAAAAGGGAGTGGCGCCATGAAATGACAAAAAACCAATGACAACATGTAGCCAAAAATAATACAGCGGTTGAGATCGTTTCGGTTGACACGAGACAAATCGATCGATCGCAAGCCTGGTTCACAAGAAAACCTTGACGCTGGATCTCTCGCAGCAAGCATCATCTATCATCTTTCGGTCTATCACAACCTTCGAAAGGCGTTCCATTCTCTACAGCTATAATCTTCCAACCAGCATATACTATCTCTAGAGTATGCTTTGATTGAAACTCACCAGAAGTTTCAACTCGACGCCACTCTTATCCAGCCATGACGCTGGGCCAACAACCACGACAAGACACCATGGAGACCCGTCAGTTTTATTGTCGGCAGCAGCAGAAAATCAAAGATCGTCAAACGAGTGGAGACTGGAGTGTGCTCATTCACATTGGGGATGTGGACGAGGAAGAAAACTCTTCAAAACAGCTGGAAGGAGATCGTGACTATGATGATGATGCCAACTATACCATCCCGTTGGACGATGACTTGGTGTTGGTGGGAGAGGTCCTAATAAGTGACGACGAAGAAGAAGAAGAGGAAAAGAACGAAATCGTACCAGAGGAAGAACACGGATGTGATATCTATGTGGAGGAAAACTATGCGGATGCCGTTGGGGTCGAGGTTTTGAGGTTGGCGGGAAGTCGGATCAGTCCAGCCAATGGTGGCAAACCAAAACGAGCCTTGCTCATCTCTGTCGTCAGTGACAGTGCAGGTTCGTCAGCTGCACTCGAGGATGGTTTTGGCTTTGAGTGTCTGCTCTCGCATGTTACGGATGGAATGTGTCACGCGGAGACTGTAGCAACCGATCCCACCAACACACTCTTGCAAACCCTGAAACAATGTCGGGATCACTTTGCTTTACGCTAGCTAGCCTAGCGAGACGGATGTCACTGGATAGGCTAGGCAACTCTTTTAGGTTTTCATAGAGCCAATAAGCTAAAAGCTGTTCCGAGATTTTTTCGTTCTGTGGTAATGCTTTAGATACGCTTGAGATTCTCAGAAATTCCAGCCAGCCGTTCCGGTTGGACTGTACACGTACTGAAGGGTGCGCGGAAGGGTTGGCCACGAGGGACTTCTCCTCGAAGTTGCCCTAACTGGCGTACTCTGAGTAGACGAAGTTCTGCACTCTCCAACCTACTACCCCCGAATGAACGTCAACGTTGGGTGCTCGCAAAGAGTGCAATGCCCTGCTGCTATAACTAATAAAACTGAATCCATTTCCCCAACTTGGCACAGAAACAATGACGAGAAATCAGCTGAACCGGTGGCCTCTAGATTCTTGACGTTGAATCCGTTGGGCATCGGGCAACTGAACCGTTGTGTGCATTCGAGATTGCTCACAAATTATCCATTTTAGAGCGATGCCGGTACTAGCTACTCGAGTCGACAGCAACCAGCAGCCAACGCAAAATATTCTTAATCGTCACTTTGCATCATGAGCAAGAGCCTTTACTTCGCGAAGTTTCTGGTTTTCCTGGTCCTGTTTGCAGCCGAACGAAGCGCTGCTTCCTCGAGCTTTCGAAAGCAGCCACGAGGGCATCACTGGGAGGAAGAAAGAGCAGTAGAGACGACGACGACCAATGGACGTAACCTAGGAGTCTTTTCTAGCCTATGGAACGGTGGCTCGCGACTGGTTGGACTTGTTCGCAAAGTAACCGGTTGCGGCACCGAAGAAGACACAGGTACCGAAAGTCCCACTCCCGCGCCATCTGTTGTTCTCGCCACTTCACCAACACCCGTTCCCAACATGGCTCCTGCGGCCCCCACTGGACAGCCTGTTACGTTCTTCGTCGACTACCGTGCCCGGTTCAAGCGGATTGTGGATGGTGGCTGCGAGAGCCCTACCACCGAAACAATTTTGGCTGTCTGTGACAAGGGCAGCTTGGAGGTTGACGTTGGCAAAACTTCAGCAGAAATAGGTTGCGCTCCATCATTTGACTACGGTTCAGGTGGTCAATACACTGTGTGTTCTCTGAATTGCACAAGCACTGACTGTGATGATCTCTATATTGACAGGGATGCAGTTCACATCTTCAACGTATGGCAGACAAATGAGAACTATGCAGAGATCCACTTCCGATGCGCTGGGGCTGATGAAAACTCAGTTGATGCCCTCTACATGATTGCAGGCAGTGATACAACAGGTGCAACTGGGAGCTGTGTGGCTGACGGGGACGGCAGTGGCAAGAACTTGCTGCTGGGAGAGCTCAATGTTGAGTGTCCTACTGAGGAAGGTGACGAGCGAGAATACGTGAACTCCCATGCTTTCTCGGAATGCGGCCCCCTTGATGCCATCCCTTTGAATGTTGACGGCAACTATACTTGTGTCGCAGGGGATTGGTGCGGTGATGAAGCGTGCCAGGTGGAGTACAAGGATGTCTTTGTCGAGGCTGATCACCATCAATTCCAACAGTGTATCCAAACTGATCCAGCCGGTCACAGTGTGCCTCTCCCCATTGTAACTGTCGATGACGTCTTGATGCCAGAGCCAGGCCAGTACTCATCACAATTTCAAGTTGGTGCGGAATTTTGGTTTGATGAAGATTCTTGTGAGGCAGAGAACACGGGAGTTCGTATCACTTGCATCGATGGCGCCATTGGCATCATTGCTACTGCTACCGGTGTTCTCTGTGAAACGGTGAGCTCCAGCGAGGTAGTGTGCACTGAAACAAACGGGACTGTTGGTGGATCAGTGGGTTTTGCTGAATATGTAAGTTGACGCTTGCAGGTGTGCTGAAACCCGAAGCAAGGTTTTGCTCATTGATGTTGCCCCATCAACTAGGAATGCACCTCCACAGATGTAGTGCCAGCAACACAGGTTGAGTACTCTACAACCGAAGTAGCCTGCACTTCCAGTTCCCCTTTACAAGCCACTCGTTTCATTGACTTGGGTGTTTTGTGTGGCGTGCCTGGGAGCCAAGAATACTTTGCAAGCGATCTATTCTTTGAATGTGGACAGCAAAACGAGTACACCATTCGTGCCTCGGATGGTCGCTTGACTTGTTTTGAACAAGTCCAAGTACCCGCCAACCGCAACAATGACCCTGTCACAATCCCTCCTGCTAGGGCATTTACAGACTACCGCTGGGCCTTTTTTTCCAGCGGCATTTGCTAGAGCCACATTGCATCAACTGCGTCGGCCGTTTTGATTCAGAGGGCCACAGCTGTCAAGTCGGTAAGGACACTGCCAAATCTTGAGTGGCGCATTGTACTAGATCGGTACAACTCACAACCTGACCCTCAACCTAAACTTCTCTGAAATCGTCAGCTACTCGCTTGAGCCAGGTGACGCACAAAGACGGGGTTGAATAATCCAAACCAAGCCGTCTTCACTGATTTGTTTGAGGCTGCAAATTGTATTTTTGGTGGGAACAGCCCACGATGCGTGGTCTCAAACACCTGGGTGCATCTGCCAGTAAGGCAAGGGTCGAGGAAGTAGCTGGGTAGTGTAGCAAGCGTAATCACATCATTTTCTGTAGTCTACTTCTTGATTCTTGTGTTTTGTTCACAGCTGTCGGCCCAACCGCGAAATGGGCGAGTCCAACCTTGCAATTCAAGTTGTCGTTTGGCAGAATTTCATTTTCTGCTGGAAAATCGAGCGTAGGCTTTTGCCAAGCACCATCGTTTGGAAAATCTTTGCGTTTTGCAAGTACAGCAAATTTGTTGTCGCGCGTGTCCCGATTTGGGGAACAGAAACCGAACCGAGCCTCCTCAGAGGGCCCGCTGCTGGATGAAAGGTTGTCGATTTCTCCAACCCCGACTATTCTTTATAAGCAATTCCAGCAGACACAGGGCCCAAAATGTGAACGCACTCGACGCGAACAAAGCCGGCCTCCAAGCACCAGCCCTTATAGTCGGAAAAAGTGAACGAGATTCCAGCGTCAGCACCCATATCGATAAATCTTTGCAGACATCCAACCAAGGCAAAAAAGTTTTCACGGCGTTCTTCATCCACAAAGATGTCAATCGCATACAGAGCTCCTCCTTTGGCTGGCAGGGCTTCATATGCCTTTTGAATCAAAAGTTTCTTTCTCTCTAAATTCCAGTCGGAGAGTATCATGCCCAGCAACACGCAATCGGCTTTTGGGAAGGGATCTTTGAAACAATCCGACGCAATCGCTGTCACTTGATCTTCGCATTCCCAGTCAGGGATCATGCGGTCGGCAATCGGTTTCACTTGTGGGAGGTCCGTGGATGTACACTGGATGTGTGGATTCTTCTGGGCGATATAGCAGGCGAATTGTCCGGAAGAACCACCGATATCCACCACCGTTTGAAATCGTGAAAAGTCTAGAATGCGCACGGCACTGGAGTACATGCCATGTCCTATTCCGTACGCCATGGTATAAACATAAGTGGAAGTTCTCTCCTCGTCTTGATACAAGACTTGGTATCGATCCTCGGCTCCCTTGTGGGGTAGATCTGTTTGTTGTTTTCCCGTTTTGAGAGCTTCCGGCAGTTTCCCCCAATACCGATAGAGCTCTTCGCTGCAGTACTCCATTCTTGCCCCCAGATAGGTGGGTTTCAAAAAGTCTAGAAACAAGGCCCCGTCGATGGTGTTGGCATAATGCGTGACAAGGCCATCTTTGGTGCGTCGTTTCTCGAGCATTTTTACTTCCACCAGGGAATCCAAGAACTCTTTGGCAACTTCCTGTCTTATCCCATACAAGCTTTGTACATGTTCGACGGACAGAGCTTCATTTTTGGACGAAGCGATATGACTGAACAAGCGCCATTCAACGGCAGTGAGCAAGAGTCTGGATTTCCAAAATCCAAAGCCCAGCTCGAAAATGGCGTCCGCCCTGAGATGCTTTTCTTCGGGCTGGAATGATGAGGAATCGAATTGGAGTGCCTTTACAAGCTTTCGCATGGCGTCTGTGCTGCACGCCTTGATGACATCTCTGACAGCCTCCACTTCGCGTGATTTGTCCTTGAGAAAATTCCCATGATCATCCCATGCTAGGTAATGTTTGCGGCTGCACTCTTCCAAGGCTTCTCCCACATACGTCTGCTTTCTGGCCTTGTCTAGGAACAAGCCCGTTTCCGGCGTGTTTTGATACTTGACGACTTGTTGTTGTTGTCCGTCCTTGTATTTCTGCAGCATTCCAAGGGCCACCAGAGCATCGATAAAATCCGCGGTGGCGCCCGGATGCAAGCCCAAGGCGTCTTGAATTTCCAATCGGGTCATTTCCCCTTGAGCCGCGAGGATGGTGAACAGTTCCAGTTCGACGGCCACCAACAAGATGCGAGAAGGAGAATACATGTGACCCAAGGCGAGAATAGGGTGAGGATCCGGGATATGCTCCTTCTTGGGCTCTTCTTCTTCTTCTTCTTCACCTTCCGACTCGAAGGAAACCGAACTGGCCATGGCGCCTTGTTCTACAAAGATCTTGCTGATCCGTTTGGACGAAGGAAAGCTCTTGAGCCGAATCTTCTTGATCCAGGATAGTCTGCCCATGGTGGATGTGATACTCTCGTACTAGTATACTATGGATGTGACTGTTGATGGTGTACAGTACAAATCACTCAAAGTTTTTAAAAGTGGTTGGTTCATCAAAAGACTCAATCTTCAACAGTCTGTTTCCACAATTGAGATCTCCGTTCTCCGTTGATGATCTGCTCTTTGTGCTTCTCTCTTCAATGCCTTCATGGGAATGCTGTCGTGACCCGCAAGCTTGTTGTTTGTGAAACTTACCAAGAACTGTAGCATCCTGACTCCCCTTAAATCTTTCTGCCGCAAGTTTCAACGTCAGTATCGTCCAAACTGTACACGAACACGGTGCTCTTAGGTCTCTGAATGAACATTACGGCTCCCTGGAAGACAACTTTGAAGTGTAGGTAGGTCCGGTAAATCATAGTTTGATTACAAAAATGCAGAGTAAAGCTTGACTTTAACCCTAGCTTTACCGCAACTTCCCTTCCAAACCTGTCTTCCTGGTGCTCTGGTGCTCTTGGCAGCTTGCGCAGGTGCCCCCCCCCCCTAATGCCTCTGTCTGTGGCGACCCGTCCAGCATGGGAGACGAGAGGCAAAGAGATCTGTACATGCCTACCGGTACCAGTACCGGTAGCTAGCTAGTAGATCTTCTAAGCGAGTGGACTTCATGTCCTGGGGCTCCAGACCAAGCAATGCCATAGATTTCATATCCTGTTTGACGACTTGTATGCCGACTCGGAAGTGAGTTTCAGCCTTCATTGACTTCTTGTTCAAAGCAATCCATGTAGGTTCTGCAGTGTCTGGGCTTTCTCAGCTGCTGTAATTCAATGGCTTGTGCGTGGCCCGGTGGCTAATGATGTGCCTCTTGGCGGGTTCTGATTGTAGGGGCGGGCACCCTTTGGACGATAGATTCTGAGTGACACCGATCCCAGCGGCAGATACATTGGGCGGGCTTTCCCGGTTGACATTGTGGTTGCACATGTAGCGATAGCATGGCACCACCACGATTTGTTTCACTGAGCCTTAACCCTACTTTGATCCCCCAGAACAGACGGATTGACACCAGAACACCAAGCGCCGGCCCAACCATTCACGTTTGAACTGTCTGGCTAGCACCTAAATCTCATAACCCACCTGAAGTGAAGAGCATTAACGTAGTTTATGCAAGTATCAAATCAAGGATTTAAACAAATTTCGGCGACATATCGCTTACTCCTCATAATTACTTCCAAGATACATCAACAAAGGATTTAACAGAGCATTCCCAAATTTGCTTGCAGCCAATGGCCCAAAGGCCAAGAAGCCAAGATTCCAAGAATTCGTGAGGTCACCTCACGATTTAAACATAGAAGGGGGTCTGGGGGTGGCTCGTGCAATTTACTTTTGCTCTTTTGAATAGGGTCAAAGAGTACAAAAGCTGATTCTGCAATTAAGAGGCCTTATTGAAGTGCTTTTGGTGGGTTAAAGCATGCACTAGTAATTAGTAAGGATTAATTGTTGTAAAACCTTTCTCTCACATCAAACCATCACTTGTTGATATGGTTTGAAATGGACAAAGCCTTCAATGCTATCCTCATAAAGAACACTGGAGAAGCACTCACAAAAGATGTACAGTACCGTTGCTCCAGTGACTGCACATTCCACATTAAAAGACGAGATTTATTTCACCACACCACACGACACCACCAATCCGACCCTCTCCGGTGCAGAAAGGAAAACCATCCCTCATTGAATTCTATGGACCATGGAATGGCAGTCAGTTCGAAAATTTTTGAAAAGTAAGAGTAAGTCTCTTACTTTCTGTTCTCGCAATGCTGATGGCCCAGGAAATACCATTGAACGAACCATCGAGTGCTACGGATAACAAGAAGAGGAGAGGCTAAGAGAGTGGATACTTCTACTGGATTCACCCATCCGGTGTGATTTCCTAGCTAGTGTTTGGTTGGTGATTCCTGTGTCGGTGCCCATTTTCCTGTATGCACATGTCATCGACTTGGTGGATTTGGCCATGTCGACAAGTCCTCGAGCGAAGGACAAGTCCTGGAGTGAACGATTTGCCCTCTTTCGTACGATAGATGTAACTAGACTAGTAAGATAATAAATATCGCATTCCTTGAATGCAGGATCTCTGAAGCTAATAATTCGTACAGTACAAAAATCGTCAACGAAAATTGCCTGCAAAAGCTTCAGGCTGGAACAAATCTTTAGGCTGGGACCACAACTTCAGGCTGGGACCACAGCTTCAGGCTGGGACAACAGCTTCAGGCTGGGACAACAGCTTCAGGCTGGGACAACAGCTCAGGCTGGGACAACAGCTCAGGCTGGGACAACAGCTCAGGCTGGGACAACAGCTTCAGGCTGGGACCACAGCTTCAGGCTGGGACAACAGCTTCAGGGTGGGACCACAGCTTCAGGGTGGGACCACAGCTTCAGCTGGGACCAAACATCTTTCAGGCTGGGACAACAGCTTCAGGCTGGGACCACAGCTTCAGGCTGGGCTGGGACAACAGCTTTAGGCTGGGACCACAGCTTCAGGCTGGGACCACAGCTTTAGGCTGGGCTGGGACAACAGCTTCAGCCGATTCTTTACCACATGATTAATTCCATCTGGCAGTTCCGTATGATCTCTGCGTATGTAGCCCATATCTGAGCTTATTGTTGTCGTCCATGCATCCCTCCATTTTCATCAGCCATAGTGTGGCATAGACTATGGTCTCAGTTCCAACCACTTTGACTTCGTTTTCACCGATCCTGACACAGTCCCCGTAACTACAAGTCATAGAGGTTTCTGCCACCAGTCCTCAGTTACTCATCCTGTGCTAGTAGCCTTCTCTGATCCCTGCTATGCTTCTGAGAACACCACTTTTGGTTCTAGCTAGGAGCTAGTAGTAGTAGTAACACCAGTTCGAATCTCTGTTTTAATGGACCACCAATGTCAACCGAGTAAAGCAGTGAAGCAGTGGCACTCAAAGCACTGACACTGGCTCGTGATTTTGGCTCTTGATTCCTGATTGCTGCTGGTGTGTATGATCCAGGATCCAGCAGGATCCAGCGGAATAACCAGGTGCCAGGTGGTGGCCTCAGGCCGAACCTTCCTGCCCTAAATCCAAGAAGACAAGTGTGCTAAGCGAAGAAGGCAAGATGCAACAGCGTCCACACTAAAGAAAACCAAAGCATGTACGGTAGGATAGAGGGCGATCGCTGTTGGCACCAGAAAGCTCTCTGAAGCTTCTCGACGTAAAGTATCACCTGTAGCTCACAGCTCACCTGTGAAGAGTTAAAATCCTCTTCCAGATGGCTGCGGACGTTGAGATGGTTTCCATTGGGAACCACAAGATGATATCCTCTTCTAGAACCACACACCACAACGTTGATTGCCACAAAGCAGCAGCAACACGGCAAGAAGTTACCCGGACAATACCGCCAGTGGGAATTCCAGTAATAATAGATATGCTACAGGAAAGCCCCCGTGTACTACAAGACACCGAGGAACCACAAAGTACAGGCGTAGACATACCGGTAACATGGCCTGGTGCCTTTCCTGTGAATGGACCTGGTACGATACAGGACAATGAAGCACCCATGAATGCCGTCGTCTCTCATACCATGACAGAGAATAATGAGGTTGTCAATCTACTAGACCAGAACACTGAGCCCATGCATCCAAACCAGAGATCAAAGCAGCACTGGAGGCAGAAATTGCTCCGCGTCCTTTCGTTTGAAGTCAATGTTGTTCTCTTTGCGGTTATTGTGATACTCCTGGCTGTTATGGCGATTTCTAGTGAAGGGCACAGCAACAACAATGACAACAACAATATCCAATCAACAGCGTTTCAAAACTCCTCAAGATACCAGGGGTTCGATAATGCACCAACGAGCCCTTTGGATTCGCTAGCTCTAGATTTACCTGAATATACCAGGAAGGCCATGGAAAACTCAAAGACTCCTCAGTCCAAAGCCTACCAATGGCTGGCTCACAACATCAACAATCAAAGTGCTGCCCTGGCCAATCTACCAAACTGGAGACTAAAGCAAAGATTTGCTCTGGCCACATTCTACTATGCTACCAGAGGAGACCACTGGGTTAAAACGATGGATGGCTGGACTGGGACACCAATGAATGCTATTGGGAACAAATCCCGTTCTTTGATGATGACTCAAGTAATTACTGCAATGAGATGGGGGGGCTAAAAACATTGACATTTGAACTGGCAAACAACATGGAAGGGAAAATTCCTCCAGAGATATGTTTGCTGAGGGAAAGTGTTGTGTTGGTCTCATTTCGTGGACAATTGCAACTCAAAGGGACCATCCCCACAGAGTTTGGATTGCTGACCAAGTTGACTGAGTTGGGGTTGCTTTCAACAAGACTTGTTGGAACAATCCCAACTGAGTTTGGTCTGCTGCAGAGTGTCACCAGGCTCATGATTGCTAATGGCCACCTTTCTGGGCACATACCCTCAGAGATTGGCAAGTTGTGCAGTCTATCTGCGCTGGTGTTGACGAAGACAGATCTAGCTGGTATGTCCCGGTGGTTTTGAAATGTCTTTTCAACCAACAAAAGATCGACACATTGTATGCTCCACCCCACCCAGGCTCAGTGCCTATTGAAATTGTTCAGCTTCCTGGCCTACTGTCTCTTATCATTCAACAGTGTCCTGGACTGAACACAGAAGATGCCCTCCAAGAAGTTGTTCAAAGAACACAACAGCTGGAAACACTTTCCTTCTCAAGCCGGACTCTTGGAGAAGAGGTACCAATCCCATGTAAGAATTCTTGCTGGCCTTGCTTACTTGGCTGAGGGTGGTTGTGACCATGACTCAATCATGTCCCTCTTTTATCAACAGCTGAAATCGGCACTCTTACAGACCTAAAATTCCTAAGTTTGATGGACTGGAATATTCACAGAACTATTCCAAGCCAGCTTGGAAAGTTAGAGAAGTTGGTAAGCAAGCAGAGAATGTGATGGAAGTATGCTTATACTATTTTTCAGGTGGCCTGACATGCAACTAGGTGCGGCTGGATTTACATGGGAACTCAGTATCTGGAACTTTGCCAGAAGCCTTGTTGGAGTTGACCAGTGAGTATGGTGAATATTGGTTCACTACGCACTTTTCATCACTCAAGCCATCCGTTTCCCTTTTAGATCTGAGTGGTTTAAATCTGGGCTCCAACAAGTTGAATGGAACACTTCGCTCGGAACTGTTTTCCAAACTCACACATTTGCGGTCCCTTCAAATCAATGGCAACAATATCTCAGGCTCCATTCCAACAGAAGTTGGTCTAGCACCTGGCCTAAAGACACTTGAACTGCAGAACACCAACTTATCTGGAACGCTTCCTGAGGAGTTACTTGCCTTGGAAAAATTGACAAGCTTGGTAATCATGAACACATCCTTGTCAGGCAGAATTGCAGAAAAACTGTGTGACAAAATGCTCCAGGTGGAAACCAGGTGCTTTGGCAGACAGTGTTATGGAGTCAAAAGCAAGAATTCAATCTGCCAGGAGACCTTCCTCTGCGGTTGCCGTTGTTCTCCTTGCCCGGTGAACTAGACTAGCACATGAGTACATAGCCAGTCACCACTGTACCAGGGAAAGCGTGAGCTTTCGGTACTAATGCCATGGGACGCCCTGTGATCTTTTTCCTTGCCCTCTCTAGCTAGAGTAGTAGACTATTCTTTGAAACAGCATTTCTCTCCTGGGAGGCAACCACTTTTGGCCACGGCTACCGTACCGGCACCCCGTACCGGTACCGCACCAGTACCGTACCGGTAGTCTTCCAAGGTTCTGTGCACTCTTGAAACTGTTTCGTGATGCTTCTCATTTTTTTCCTAATAATCAAATCGCACCCAACACGGTCTCGTGGTGCAGTCTCTTTCGCATCTCCAACAACGTCTACGTAGTGCCAAATCAATCGAAAGCAAGGAAATGACGAAACGTTCTAACGATGTCTTGGCTCCTAGCGCCAAGCGCTCTCGAAAGATGGCGGCGCAGCCAAACGCGATTGCCGTGATGGCTCGTCCTGACAAGGCGTCGTCTTGTCCAGCGGCCGCAACAGTAGTCACATCAACGGTGCTTTCCAATCAAGAATCTCCAACGAAAATAGGAAGGTTGCCTTTGATGCCATCGATCGCTCCAACATCGGCGGTCGGCGCCAACAAAGTGACGAAGTATGCATACGACATGGTGGAGACGTTTCGGCGTGACCCGATTCAGTGCGATCAATTTGTCGCGATCGGAGGCCCCCTTTCTCTTCTGGTCTTCATGAAACAGTGGCAACACAATGAAGAGGTTCAAGAAGAACTCTTCTCTTGCCTCGGCTGGTTCGTGTACTGCTTCAAGGAGAAGAATCTCGCGGGGAAGTTCGACGTGTTCTCGTTCCTTCGAAAAGCAGGGGTTCTCGCAGCGATTGTCGAGGTCATGCGGCTCTATCCCAAACGAAGCGTTCTTCAGCGCAATGGTATGTACATGATCATGTACTTGTGCGAGTACGCTCACGGCGACAACTGCCAACAGCAGGAAATGGCGTACGATTTTATCCATGAACTCCAAGGCATTTCGTCGATCGTGGCGGCATGTGTGTCGCATCCAACAGTGGACTACGTCCAAAAGGTGGCGTGTGCTCTGCTGGCAACTCTTTGCCACTTGGGATTCTATAATATCACCGTCATGAAAACAGAGGCCCTTCCCACTGTCGCTCTTGCCATTGCCGTTTTCCCGCACGACGCGTTTCTCGTGAACCAAGCCGCCGACTTTACGGAAATGGTCTTACGAGCCTACCACAAGTAAGTAAGTAAGTAAGTAAGAAAGCAAACACTGACAAAAGCGGTGGCGTGGAAGGGTCGCTCGCCTCGGTGCGATCATCGCGGCCATTGTTGCTGTTTAGTGCGAGTTGTTCGAAAAGGAAGAGGCGACGGCTGTGATTTCTTGTGAATTGTTCGGGAGGAGGCGACGGCGCCCTTTCTCCTTTTCTAGCATGTCGGGGCAGCCCAATGAACGCTTCTTGGGTCTTTGCCGCTTGATGGATACATGTACCTTAGCTAAACAAAGATAGTCAAGTTTTTGGAAACACAGTAGCCCACCACTATTTTCTTACAGATAGCCCACTATTCCCTTACAGAGTCTTCTTGGATGCTGGCGACAAGTAGCTACTCCGCGTCAGCGTCAGTCGAGTTCACTGCAATGATTCCGAACTGATAGGCAATGTCTGGCGACAGGTACTCTACCAAATCGTTGATCTCCTCCACCGTTAGGTCCTCGTAGAATTCGTCGCGACCGCGGGACCAATCGAGCTGCTGGGGATTGGCCTGAGAACCATCCATCACAGTGCCCAACCAGTAGCTGTTGCTTTGGAGGTCATCAGCCCTTTCACTCTGGAAGGGGAAGAGGGCGCGTTCGAATTCATCTTGTGTAATATCGGCTTGCGATATGTTGGCGGCAATTGCCAAGGTGATTTCTGTGAAGACTTCGACTTCATCGTTCACTCCAATGGCATTGGTCATGAAAAATCCATATTCAAAAGCATCGCTCATGATCGAGCTAGCACCAGGAGAGTAGGAACCACCCAACTCCTCTCGGATTTTGACTCTCATCCTGTCGCGGAACACTCCAGCAAGCAAATTGAAACGACGCAATAACCCTATGTCTTGACTTACAAACGAAGGAATCCTCCACACAATGAAAGCACCAGCAGTAGGGATCTTGCTTTCGTAGGCGAATGTCTCTGCTTGCGGGGCAACGGGAATGTCGATTGCGCGCATTTCGTCTGTGATCTCAGGCGGCGAGGCATCTCGTTCTGGAATGGCACCAATGGTCTCCAGCAGAAGATTGACAGTCTCGGTCTCGTTGAAATCGCCGACAATGGACAATTCAATATGTCCGCTCTCGAGAGAAGGCGTGAGCCAGGTTTGCGCATCCGGAATTTCAAGACCAAACAATCCTTCCTCCGTGGGAGCTGTCCACCTTTCATCTCCTCCGAATAGATACGGAAACAGCTGGTAGCTGTAGGCACCATTCAAACTATACTTGATGCTGTCCAAAACATCAGGAATTCCATCACGAAACCATCCGAGAGCCGTTTCGTCCCAGCCTGGATCAACAAAGTGAGCTGTCAAGAGTTGCAACGCAAACTCCAGGTCAAATGGGTTGGCATATCCAGACAAAGAAAAGTAGTCCTGGGAGATTCCAAAAGATATCCCGACGGTCTTGCCCGTCAAAGCACTGTCAATTTCAACAACAGTATGGTTTTGGAGACCTCCATTGCCGAATACGTAGTCCGTAAAACTGTCCAAATAAGTTGCATCCTTGGGTTGAGTCAACTGTCCAAGTCCAAACCGAGCCCGGAAACGGATGACCCCTTCCTCAAAGTCTGTCTGTTTCAAGTTCACTTTTACATTGTTCGACAGAGTCATCTGACGAATTTCAAGATCTTCCACAAAGCTGTCCTCGATAACAGTGCCAGGCTCACCAAAGTCAGTATACGCCCACACCACAGGTTCTTCCTCCACCGGGGGGTCTACCGGGACACTTTGACTGTCCAACCAGAGCATCTTCAGTTCCTCTGCAACTTCGTCTTGTGTGCCGTCGATCTCGGCGATAGCAAGATACAGGTTGATATCACTTGTGTTCCAAATGTTGGAGAAGACTTCGTGCAAAACTTCTGGGGTGATTTCATCCAAAGCGAGTTCGGCAATGCGAAGGTCCTCTTCTGGAGAGGAAAACACAAAATTTCCATTCACCTGGACACAGAACGAGATGCCGACAAGGAACCTGCGAATGAGGATACTACAACGGCATCGCTCAGCGCTCAAATCAGTCAAAACTTACCGCCGCATTGAGAGTACCAGCAAAGTATGCCGAGCTACGTGAACCCTTTCCAAGAACCCGTTGTTGATACGCATTCAGTCGAGAGGCTTTGGCTTCGTCCACTTCAAACTGCGTGAAGCCATGTTCCAGAAACCTACGAACTTCTTGTTCCATGACCGAGACGGCCTCTTTCCAGAGACCCTCTTTTGGATAAACGGAGATGCTTGCAATTTGGGCAAAATCGTAAAGATGAGAAAAGCCTGCCGCTCCTGAAAAGATGGTACTGTTGGAAGGGCTGCCAAGGTCGAACAAACGATTGGAAACAACAGTATTGGCAATGGAGATTTTCATGTCTTCAATTCGCTGCGCTTCCGTGTCTGGGAGAGGGCCCTGCGGGACCATGGTATTAATGGTGATTTGAGCTCCTACCAACTCTTCGTCTTGGAAGACATTGGTCTGAAGGCCCTGACCCACAGGGACCGGGCCGTAGTCCACAGGGTCTCCACGATCACCCGCGTCTGCAGTACTGCCAAAGTACTCTTCGATGAGTGCCTCCATTTCTGCAACATTGATATCTCCAGCTGCAATGAAGGTAGCTCTTCGAGGTACATAGTAGTTACCGTAGTATTCCTCAAACAGAGGACGTTCCATCGTGGCGATGGTACTTTCGGTTCCAAGCACAAAGCGGTCCGAGAGGAGATTATCCGGCAATACCCATGCGTACAGCTCCCTGGTAAGCCGTCTTCCAATGGAATCCCTGGCTTCCAGTTCGGAAATGACAACTCCCCGTTCGGCTTCAATTTCTTCTTCTTCTATGAGGGCCCCATCCAAGACATCACGCATCCAGTTCATGCTCTCAGCAATGGTATCATTGTCCGTGTTGGGCAATCCCAAAAAGTAGACGGTCTCATCCACTGTAGTATACGCATTGACATGGATGCCAAAGCCCAATCCAAGCCGTTGAAAGGCAGGAATAAGGTCTCCATCTGGGTGAGTCCGAGTGGTTTGGAACATCATGTGCTCCAGAAAATGAGCTCCTCCATCAAAGGGATCAGTCTCAAAGTTGGCACCGGCATCAATGTGAAGGCGAAATTCCAGTTTTCCTGGTGGGTCATCATTGGGGACTATATAGTACTGCAGTCCATTTTCCAATTCACCATAGCTAATGATTGGGTCCAGGGGAATGTCCGACAGTTCATGAGGGCGAGGTGGTTGCTTGCTTTCTGGCACAGGGGTATCATCCGTCGTGGATTCAGGGACCGCGTCGTCACCGGTTTCATCGTCGGTAAAGGGATCCAGAGCCGGTTCTGACTCTGTACGTCTGTTCCAACTACTTTTCTGTTGGGCATAACTCAACTGATTCAACCTCCTCCCGCTAGCATCCTTGTTGATATCAGCGGGTGGAGCAAAGAGGTCCACGTGGCGGCATTTCACATCATCCAGCAAGAAAGCCTTCTGAGGACTGTACCCACTGTCTTTGGGCTTGGATTCTTCTTCTGTCTTTGCTTCATCCGTCTTCTTACCTTCTGCCTTTGCAGCTGCCTCCAGCCCCCTATTGCGAAGGTTGCGCAGGAGTGGCTCTGACGCCAAGGCAGGGCTTGCCAAAAGGCACAAGCACGACAACAAGGGTAACACACGAGTTTGGTTCCACATTGGTGAATTTATGATTTTGTGATTCCTCTACTACCGGTACCGTCCTCTATTGATGCCGAGCCAAAAGGTCGGCACTCGTGTTGGATTCCAAGCAAAAGATAGACTACATGGCTGACTACATTGGCATGGCGGCACAGTCATCAATTCGCCAAAGCCATGCATTCAATCGAGGAAGAAAGATGAGCCGGTGAAATTCGATAATATAAAATATACCATGATGTAAACCAGGTTAACACTGAAGAAGAAATAAATTAATAATTTTATTAGTGATTGTTGCGCTACCTCCAATGACACCTTATGTCCCTGTTGGTGGTGGTGGGGTTCCCAAGCACCCGTACCAGGTACAGTCGCATGTCGTATGGTAAATGGTAAGCTCAAGAAGCCTGGAGACGGGTACCAAATCCTGCTCAGCAGTGTACAGTCCGTTGCTTGTGGGTGACCAAAAGACGAAATAATGGTCGCCACAAAACTGCCTCGTTGCAAAGCAGGCAGGAGTAAGGCTGGCTGAGCCCCAAATTGCAAGTTGGAGCCCTTTGCTGTTTATTCCATCAGGCGAATGGTATTTAAAACGAATTCGGACTTCGCGGCAGCTGAATGAATAGATTGCCTGTCAGGCTTGGCCCACAACTCTCAAGCCGCCCCAGCCACTCTGAAACCTGGTCAAACCCAGTTGCCTTTCCATTCGCTCTGCCTCTTGGCTGCATCAGGAGTTGCAAGAGAACGCCCAGATTAACTAGTATCATCAAAAGCTTATGGATGGAGTCACTAGCTAGTAGAAATGGACGGGGACTACATGCACTACATGGCAAACTTGGAACACCGTGAAGTATGCCCTCACCCTGGAGCAGGCAGGCAACTACGGTAGGCTCATCCGTGGGACCAAAGTTTTTAGGCTGCGAAGCGAAGGACCCTTCCAATTCCTTTGGCCACATGTTCCTTCATGCATCACAGGGACAATCAAAACCACAAAGGCTACCACAACTGAAGTGCAACCAACATTCCATGGTTGTTGGGCAGCAGCCTGCCGAAGTTGGATCCAACTTGACACAAGCAAGGCAGGTGGAACTGCTACCTCATAAGAGCATGTTCAAACCACCAATATCAAGGCCCATCTCATGCAGTCAAAGCTTTGTGAAGGCTCCTTCTCTTTGTGAATGATGTGCTTGCGTTTCTAGCTAGGCTTGTTGCCATAGAGGAACCCCACTCATTGCAAGAGGTTCTGGGCTACTCTTGAATGGCCGAAGATTGGATCTGTGAAAACCTTTCACATTCATGTGTGTGGAGCAGTCAAGCCAGACCTTACCGGTATTTTGAAAGCATTCGAAGAGCCTCATTTGGACGCTCTCTTCTCCTAGAGGGCCCATGATCAGGAAAGTTGCAATGCACCCAACCATTCCCTTATGATGAAGTTTAGTATTTCTTTATTGCCTACGTCTTCTAAAACATGAAAGGATCGAAGTTGCATTCGTCAAATCGCACCACAAAGGTCCAGGGTACTCGACACCGCCGCACAGCTCTCAATAGCATCCTCCACCATCAAACCACAACTAGTAGCACCGCTCCCCCGCAACCTTTGCTACACTTGATGATCCTTGGAGGAGATCTCGACTCCTTCGGTGTTTTCCAGTTTCTCCATTTGCATAGTCACCAGTGTGGGTTCTGCAACATTGTTGTTGTTGTCTATTGTCGTCATGTCACCTTGATGAATGGGACGGAATCTCAGGGACGATGATTGTTTGCTGGGAGTCGACGACATGCCTTCCTCTTCTTCTGCCAAAATGGGCAAGGCTGTTCGCTGCGTACTGGTCAGCAAAGAGTGAATCGAATCATCACTGGGATCGTCTTCCTCCTCCTGAAGTTGCATGACACCCTGCTGCCGCACTTGTTGTCGTTTCTTTTGCGCTCGTCGAACCTTTTGGGTGGCCAGTTCGTCCACTGTCATTTCTTCTTGCTTCTTGTCGGGGAAGATCACGTGGAAGATACGGCTCCAAATAATCTGCCACGTCTGCACAACGGCAAATCCAACAATGAGTCCCAACGCTAACGACGTGGATGTCACCCAGAGTCCATAAAAGACAGCGTCGGAATCTGGATTCTGCACGAGATCCTGAATGGTCACAGTTTTATTGTTGGCCAGCGTAATATTACGATCATATGGCAGCGGTGGTGGTGGGAAAATGATATTGTACCACAGTTTGGCAATGAGTGATCCGGGCACCAACTGGTACACTGCCGGCATGAGCAACGCCCAAATGTTGAGGTGTTCCGCTTCGACAATGGCTTCCACCAATACCGCCTCTTCTTCTGCCGTGAGTCGAATTTCTTGTCGCGGATGTTGGGGATCACGGAATTCCTGTACATCTTTGTAGAGTTTCTTTTCCATTTTCAACGCTTCGACGTATGATTTCTTGCCCAGCCCAAGACAACTGACAAACTGGACGTATCCTTTGGAGATGGCATAACTAAACTTGCCAATAGGACTGTGGAATGCTTTTTCGGTCGGAGCGGCCGGATTGCGTGTTCGCATCAAAAGTCGTGCATTGTAGTACTTGTTGACGGTATCACAGAGATAACTGAGAATATGAGCCATACAGACAGCGGCGGCTGCTCCGGCAATGTTGGAACTGGCGGTATCCAAAAAGTCTCGAGCATGTCTGTTTTCAAAGTATCGGAACATTTGATACTGTACTTCGTATCCGACCAGTTGAACGATAAGCCCCCGCCAGTAATTGGCAATGGGGAATCGGTACTGTCCCAGTGCACTGGCGGAACAGAGTAGATAGAGTGGAATCCGCCACCAGTGATCATTTAGGATGATTTGATTGCACTGTTTGGCCGAGTTGGTCCATGCTTCGTAGACATTGGTTTCGACGGCAATCATTAATCCAATGGCGGATCCCAATGCCAGCACAAACGTCTTGACACTGACGGCGACAAATCGGGTGACACCGGTTTCCAATTCTCCCGCAATAATTTCGAGCAATCCAATGACAAAGGCGGTCCCGTAAAAGAACCAGTAGAGTGTTCCCAAAAATATGGACGAGAGACAGTATTCATTACTCTGGATATTGTCTTGATATCGATAAAACAATCCAGCAATAATCCCCGTGATACATCCCGCCAGTACATCAATGAGAATTTTGGATTGCCCAGCACCACTAAAATCAGCCCAAAACGTAATGGCAAATTCGAGCAATCCAGTGGAGATTCCCGTAATAGCCGCCACGGCGGCATCCCACCAATCGCCTCCAAAGAAAATGACGGTACAAGTAGACGCCATGAGTGGATAGAGGAGCAATCGTCCCGGTGTGTCACGCAAAAACAAGCCCGATGGCGCCGTGTGCTTGCCGTGTTTGGTTTCGGTTTGAAAAATGAGGGCTTCATGGACGTTAATGTGTCCTTCCGTCAGCGCCACGGCAATTTTCATGTAGAGATCTTGGAATTCCGAGTCGTAATCGTAGGGAATGCGACGATGCAATTCAAACGCGCCATCGTTAACCCGGAAAATCAATTTGATCACTCCCAGGTTCCACGTGCAACGCATACCAAAGGCATCTTTGACTGTATTTAATACAACACGAGAAAGACAGTTAGTCAATATCAAGGCATGCAAATTGTTAGTACTCTAGCAATAAAAACTCACCTTGACGCAAAATCTTGGAAGTCAATAGAGTCATATGCCACGCTCTGTGCAATTCACAGGCCGTTCGTACGATAAAGACAAAGACCAGGGCATACTCTTCTCCCTCTGCGGCTTCCAGTTGGTAGTAGACCCTCCGTAGATCAGCGGGGAGTGTGTTGACATCAAAGCGACGCTCCGAGAACGTCACGTGATGCCGAATCGAATCCACCCATTCATCGGTGGCGGGAAGAGGAGCCGAATTGGCACGACGCAACGGTGAAGGACTAGTAGTATGGCTGGGGGTGGTCGTATTGGACGTGCCTTCGCTCGCGGTGCGGCGGGGTGGACCTGTCATGGTGGTGATGACTTGAGAGCAGATATGGACTACTATGGAAGAAGAAGTGGTCATGCAAAAACAAATGAGAAAGCTGAGAAGGCAAAATGACAACGGAAAGCAAGGAAGATACCGTTGCGAAAGATCCAGTTTGCGAAACATATTCCGAATGGTCCCGGTGGCACTCCAGAAATTTCTATTCAACGGTCCATTAACGTCCGTAACACAATCATGCTTCCGGTTGCCTTCAACCAGCTCAATACGCCTTGAGTACCGTGGTACCTGTACCGGTTCGTGAGTAATGGTTCTCTCCAGTAAGGGCCGCTTCTGTAGTTGGCTCATATCCATCCATCACAACATCACAACATCACAACACGGGAACTGCTTGGACCATCCAATAGCGGGGCTACCCAAATCGATCCCAACCATTGATTCCTGTGTATTTGGGCAAAGCTTGACATCCTCGCTGCCAGGCTATGCTTGCTTGCAAAAATTCGGCTATGTGACACGCTGAGTCATGCCTGTGACATTTTCGTGACAGTTGGATAACTTTAACCCTTTTACTTTTAAAAAAGAAAATATGTATGGGTTTTGCGCAACGCTCGATCGGCACTCAAATCGGCGCCATTTGTGTTCCGAATTGATCCAACGCAAACCTTGTGCAAAGTAACTCTAACTCTAACCCAACTGTTGAGTAGCCAAATAAAATCGCATTTTGGCTTGGCCTGCTCTCGGGCCATATTTTTACTTATGGTACTGTCTGATGAGACATGTATGGATGGGTTTTGGGGTACCCTGGTATTGGATGCTCTTATAATATTAGGCGCAGTTCCTCGGACATCGGACAGGGATCAAGTGTGGGTGCAGATGTCCAGATAATGTTTGATGGTGTGGTAGGAAAGCTGGTAGGAAATTGTTCCTGGTCAAGCCATGGAATTCAAGGTTGTTGAGGTCGTTGATATCACCGACGAGGCGGTATCCGTGAACACAGGTTACAGGTTGGAGCTGGAGGGGATGCCTATACCGCAGACATGTTTAAGGCAGGGCAGGAATGGGTTCTTTTACACCCCCGGAAACAAAGGCATAGCTGCTTTTTAAAAAGGCGAGATTAAGGACGGGATCTCTGAGACGTTCCTGTTTTTGGTTCCAGCCAAGCTGTTGTCGTGAAGATTTTAGAAGTTCTTCATGAGGAGGCCGAACACTCATTTCAAAATTTCAAGGGTGGATGAATGACGTCATGAACTCGCGAAAGATCCAGTCTTGGATCGCTTTCTAATCCCGTCTGGGACCGAGTCACGAATAAGGCATATGCCTCTATTATTATCGAAATTGAATTGGCTCGGATTTGATGTACATCGTAGAGTCAAAGCGAAGAGGGGCCTCTCTACAGAGGAATTCCACGCATAGATCGGGGTAAATTGTCAAAATATGGCTAAGGCTCCCAATTATGAAAAAAGACTAAGCCCGTTTATGGTCTTCATAATTAATCAACTGCCTTAAGCCGATCCTAACGGTGACACGCGACCGACATACGCGACAATGATTAGCCAATGAGAACTGCCAGATCCTTTTTCCACATCTCGTGCTCAACTTTTGCACCCGACATTAAAAAAAAATGTGGTGTTGCCCAGTCATGCTTCCGCGACATTGGAGAGAGTCTGTTTTCCATCATATTTCTATAGATGCGCACCTCTCCACCCACATGACCGCAAAAAGTCACAAGCAAATGTAGAGCAGAAGATAGGAAAAACAAGTACGGCAATGGATATTGATGACGATGACTCACCACAACAGCAAGGTAGCCATGATGTAGTCAGTCTGAGCGATTGTCTTCGCAATGATGGCAGTCTAGACATTCAGCGCTACAGAAGTTACCTGCAGCAAGAGGATGCTTTAGAAGACAAACAAGAGGCATGTTTGTGTGCTCTGTACTGGGAACGTCAGAGTGAGAAACCGGAACAAGAAAAGGAAGCGTCACCAACAAAAAAGCCCAGGAAGAGAAGTAAGAAATCCATCAAGCCATACTACTTTGATCAACATGGAAACAAGGTCATTCTGAAACCGAAACAAACAGTCTGGTACCTGTGCTACGTTGCATCGCCTAGCCTGGACTGTGGCAAGTTTTGCAAGAAATTCGGAAGGCGGTTTCGAATGCCTTATCAGGAGTATTTGGGCCTTCTCACCAAAGTGCAAGTGGATGACCGGTTTGTTCGCTGGAGATCCAAAGATTGCGTGGGATGCTTAAGTTCCCCAGTAGAATTACTGGTGCTTGGTGTTCTTCGATATCTTGGCAGAGGCTTGACTTTCGATGACCTGGAAGAGATGACAGCCATTCATGAGGAAACGCACCGGCAATTTTTCATGTCTTCGTTGATTTCGGTGCCGCAGTCCTCTATCCACTGTACGTGAAAATGCCCTTGAACGCTGAACAGTTCAAAGACCATCGAAAAGAGTTCAATGTGGGTGGTGTGACTGGGGCAGGATGGTCTACAGATGCAACAAATGTGGTGATGTGGCGTTGCTCTCACAATCTGAAGCAAGCAAACATGGGCTTCAAACAGTCGCATCCTGCTCGGACCTACAACATGACTTGCAACCACCGCCGCGAAATACTTCATACAACAAAGGGCCATCCTTCTCGCTGGAATGACAAGACACTTGCCCATTTCGATGAGTTCATGACCAGTGTCCATGAGGACGCATCTTGCAAGATGTTCGTTTCTCATTGTTTTCGTGGGAAGGAGAAGTGGGCAGTGCAAACCTCGAATCAACCACTTATGCTGGTGCCTGGGGCTTAGTTGACAATGGCTACCATCGTTGGGCCTGTACGCAAGCACCATCCAAGCACAATCTAATGAGATCGGAAGAGAGACTAAGTGAGTGGATCGAGTCGTTTTGCAAGGATGCAGAATGATGCTTTGGAATTCTGAAAGGGCGATTTCGCATCCTGAAAACTGGAATACGAGTGGATGGGGCTGAAGCTGCCGACAAGATATGGCTGACTTGTTGTGCTCTACACAATCTACTACTCCATGTTGATGGCCTTGCTGAATGGGATGGATCCCTTGGCGAAAATGATGTGGAGGATATGCGGCAACATGCCCCATTTGCCATGCAGCGACTGAGTGATACACAGTTACAAGGCTTTGGTAGCAGGGAGCACGAGCTTCAAGCCAAAGCAGAAGAACAACAACGAAGAATGAACAATCAACAGCCAGAGGACGCAGAACAGATTCAGCAACAGGATGACGACTATCTCACTGGACAAAGATACGCAGCATTGGATGTGGCAGTTTTGGTTAACTCATTATCCTATGACGACTTTCGAAGCCGACTTGTGGAACACTTTGACATTCTTTGGAGAAGACACAGAGTACGGTGGCCAGAACGCCGTTCCATTAATTCCTAGTAGTATCGTTTTGTCTTGTCTACCCTTCCTCTTGTTCAAAGCACTGTTGAGCATTGCCGATATTGAGGTCATCGGCTTGTGCCCTGCTGGCATAGTACGTTCCTCCTGTGTGATATTGCTGAAATCCTATTTCGTAAGTGATAATCTCCCTTCCTTGGGTTGGCGTCGTATCGTGGTTAGCTTCGACTAGACCTTTGGAAGGCGTGCAATGGCAAACAGTAAAAGAGAATATTATGAGCATTACGATCTATCAAGTCTATTGGGTTTCGTTGTCAAGGTTCGGACTGATAGAAACGGAACGGCGCAAGCCGGCATCGGCTTTTGGTTCAAACATGGCGCCTATTCGACTCGGGTAGGAGGATCGAGACATGAGTGCTAAATGGGACCACGGTGCATCCATCGTGGACCACAGTGTGGAATATGCTGCGCAGACTATGCGCGCTCTTCCGGTACTCATGAACTCTATCCCTTGACCTCCGACTGTGGTGAGTCACTGGTCTTCTGAGTAATGGGAGAAAATGCCTCATTAGCACTCCCCTCGTTGGCGACCTTCGACTCTTCTTTATTCTCAGTCTGTAGGATCTTCGCAGTATCTCCTTTCCAAAACAATAAGGGTTGGAGCTGTGACCAAACCGACGAGTAGTCCCAGTGTTTACTGAGGATATCGGCAGGGTTATGCTCCCCTGGAATGTGGTGGAAACGGAGAATTTTCGCAGCGATAGTAGATTCCCGTGTCTTGTGGTACAAGAGGGCATTGTGTCGCTTCAAGATCTTGGAATGAGGCATTGACGCAGTGTTGACAACTGTCTCATTATCTCCAAACATCATAGTAGACGTCTCAATGGGCACTCTGAGGTACCGTATGGTCTCAATGGGCACTCCGAGGTACCGTATGGTGTTGCGAAGATCGATGATCTGCTCTGTAGCAGTCCTTGGGGCGACGTATTCAGATTCTTCCTCTTTCGGAGCATCTTGACTTCACGTTCTTCCTTCCTTGCCTCAGCTCTGTCCAGCATAGTATTGATTTGCTTTAGACCTACTTTTTCAAGGGAAGCCGAAAACCGAAGCGCTTCCCCTCTGGATCTGTCAATACAAGAACAACAACACTAATAGCAACAAAACATAACCAATCGCGTCATACCTATACCATTACACTACCTATTGCACCATTAGAAGCATTGAAACGAAGCGAAAGGACCTCAGGAAGCCTGTTTCTGTTATCTTGTTGAAGAGTACTGTTTTACTATAGGATTCAACTCAACGTCATCACGGAAAACATACACCTTTTTCTCTCTTTATCTCTCATTCAAGCCGAAAAGGATCGATACCTCCTATTCCCTATCAAGCGCACCTCCTCTATCAAGCGACTATCAACGCGGCGTTCTCCGGTCCAGATTAGAAAAGCCATCCCAATTGAAATCCTACGAGATCGGGCGGGTTTTCTATTTCTCGACCGCCGACGGCCAAGTTGGAAGAATTTGAACACAAGAAGAAGTCTCCGGCCTTCCACAGCACAGTACAGAAAACAATTCCCATACGTATTTGTTGCTTTCTGAACTAAGCTCCTGACGGCCGAAGAAATCCCATTGTCGGCCGATCCTCCTTCTCGAAC